ACAGTAAGCTTGTCTCAAAACAACTCCCCCCTCAAAAAAAATCCTAAAAAGTATTTTAGGTAGTGACAACAGTATGTACAAAGGTACATAATCACAATTTTACAGATCAGTAAAACTTTGACAAATAGTTTATGTAAGAATTTACACATTGGGGCTAGAGAGATGGTTCAGCAGTTGAGAGCACTGATTTCTCTTCTAGAGGACCCAGGTTCAATTCCCAGCACCCACATGGCAGCTCATGGCTGCCATGACACCCTTACACAGACATACATGCAGACAAAACACCAATGCACATGAAATAAAAATTTTTTTAAAAAAGTAAAATAAAGGAGAATCTACACATTAATAAACTGAAATGGAAAATCTCCGTCAGGCGTGATCGCACATGCCTGTAATTCCAGCACTCTGGGGACTGAGTCAGCAGGATCCCAAGCCTAAGGCTAACACACTAAAAGAAAGACTGTCACAAAACAAAACAACCCTAAGTTTATATCTAAAATGAAGAAAGCTTTTAATAATCCAATAAAAATTCCTAAGTCTGCTCACTTGAACATGTAAGCTCAGATTGTGGCTATGAAAAAAAAACAGCAAATTATTAGTAAGAGTCAATGACGACAAAGGAGACATGATGTTCTCACCCAGAAGAAACCGCATGCATTCCAGTTAATGAGAACTGATGACAGAGAGAACAGTCATCAAGAAGACAGAGAACGAGAGTGCTTTCCAGTTTCTCAAGGACTCATGTCACAGAAGAGTGGAGTCTCAGAGCAGCAACTCCTAAACATGCTTTATTCCACATCCTCAACCTAAAAAGGTTACGGCAAGCCAGGAGGGCCACACCCTAAACCCAAAAGTCAGATAAATGAAAACAAGTATGGTCTTTAATAAAAATGCTTGTAGAAATTAAGGAAACACTATCATTTTACCTCCTTGGTAGCTTTTACAGGGTCTTCAAATACTGCTGAGAAACATGCTGACAGTCTCAATAGTGCCAGTGAGACAACCACACATCCATGTGAGAAACACGCATGACAACTGTGCCATACCACACCAGGACACAGTAAACACGACTCTGAAACATGAAGTCTTTAAGTGCCAGGTGTGGTGGCACACACCTTTAATTCCAGCACTCTGGAAGGCAGAGGTAGGCAGCTCTGAAATTGAGGCCAGCCTAGTATACATAGTAAGCTCCATGCCAGCCAAGGCTATATATAGTGAGACCCTGTCTCAAAAAAGGCAACAAAAAAGTCTTCAATTTTGTTTGTTTGCAATAGGGTCTTGTATATAGCTCAGGCTGGCCAGGAACCTCCTGCCTCAGCCTTCCTGAGTGCTGAGGCCACAAACTGAGCTGCCAAGGCCTGCCTGAGGAAACTCACTCCAAGCATAAGCCATGCCGCGTCTGGCTTGCACTGGAGGGACACAGCCTCCTTACAGCTTAGCCACTCTCTACTGGATACAAGAGCTCCTTCAGTGACAGTGATGAGAACCCGAGGTCTCCAGTGGAGAGCAGGGAGACTACTGTTCTGGACTCCCCTGGCAACAGAAAGGCGGGGGTGTTGGCCTTAAGATGGAATAAAGACAGAGCTGGTCCAGCCATGCAAGCCAAGAAGCTTCAGGTCTAACAGGGACAGGAATACACTATTTACAGCTGAGGAATGTTTCAATTTCCCACATGAACCAGCATCACTATGTAAGGAACAGCAGACCACCCAGAGGCTTAGCAGACAGTGAGAAGAGCAGAGAAGAGCAGTGCCAGCAGAGCAGGCAGCAGGACACAGGTCACCACAAAGATGTCAACTCGTCATCCAACTTCTTTAGGACAAGTCAGCTGCTTACCAGTTTTGCTTCAAGTCCAAATACTGAATGTTGACCCCTTCTTTAATAGCTTCGTAGTTACTTTCAGATCCCTAAATGGAAACAGCAAAGTGTAAGCAAGCTCCCAGTAATTACTGTGTCTTTCTTTCCACTCACTGAGCACCGAGCACCTGGAAAAGTGCTGCATCCATCTCTCTGATATCAAGGCCAACCTGATCTATATAGTAAGTTCCAAGACAGGGCTGTCTAATCTAGTGAAATCATGTCTTTTTTTTTTTTTTTTGTCTTTTTCAAGACAGGGTTTCTCTGTAGCTTTTGGAGCCTGTCCTGGAACTTGCTCTATAGACCAGGCTGGCCTTGAACTCAAGAGATCGCCTGCTTCTGTCTCCCAAGTGCTGGGATTAAAGGCATATGCCACCACTGTCTGGCAACCCTGTCTTAAAGAAAAATTAGGTCAGCTGGGTATGGCGGCACATGATTATATTCCTACTACATAGGTGTATATATATTACATGTATATATATACTACTTATTACATGGAAATGTGTTTCAATGAGACAGATGGGATGGCTGTGGCGATGCTTACCTATAATCCCAGCACTTGGGAGACTGAGGCAGGACTTAAATGAGTTCACAACCAGCCTGGGCTACAGAGTGAATCCCTATCTCAAAGAAAACAAAGAAGGAATGAACACAGTTACACACCATAAATCAAGCCAGAAACAGCCATTACTGTTCCTCACCCAAATAGCATCAGTAATGCTTTCCTTCAGGGCTCTGTGCATATCCCAACTGTGAGCCTGTTTTTCTGAAGAATCATCCAGTTCCCATTTACAGATGTTTGAACTTGTCAGGGTGTAGAAACTCGATCTTCCTCTGTCCCACAGAACACTGGCCAGCTGTGCAGAGAGAAGGGGTCATGCTGAGATTGACTCCAACTTCATGTGCTTCACAGCTTTCTGACTATAAATCTCCCCCAGGCTCTGTAGGAAGGAGTAACTCTGAAACAGACCTTGAAAGCAAGGCCAAATCTCCAAAGGAAAGGCTTGGGAAGAGCAGAGCTGGAAAGAGCAGAATTGGAAGATGGGAAAGTTACAGAGTCCTCAGAGAACCAGTGTCTTATAAAATTGGAACTATATGTAAGAACTCTTTAAAGAAACCACAGCAGAGTCTTGAGTGTGTGTCTATAAACCTGGTGAGACAAGGAGATGTTCATAGCTTTTGAGTCTAGCACTTGAAGGGAGCCTGGCAGGAAGGACACGCATCAGACATGGGCATTATTTGTATGATGAGTAGACGCTTTTGTACGAAATGGATGTGTGTAAGTTGAATGTACACAGTGGTTTTTAGTTTAAACCCCCAGTGATCCCATTTCTCCTGTTACAGGGCAAGAAGGGCCAACAATGAGGCAGTCCAGGGCTTTGACAGAGACAGAGAGACAGACCATGGGATGAAATGCACCCAGAAGCAGCTGGGGAACCACTGGATGTACGACAGAGAGGGAAGCGCAGTGACTATCACCATGGTTTGAAGCCCACCCAGGTCACTTGAGAAAAGGGACAGTGCCATTAACAGAAACAGACATGTCAAAAGATGAAAAATTTGTGTCTAAACATGCTGTTGAGGTTTAAAGGACATTCAAGGGAACAAGTGCCACAGTCACTTGAGGTGAGGAACAAGCAGTATGTTGAGGAGCTGAGCTTCTGTACAATGGAGAGAAAGGGCCCTGCTTCACAAGAGAACCGAAGCAGCTGGCAGACCTAGGCCTATGCCCTCTTCCTCCCAGACAAGTCAGGAGGGTAATCCTGAGTCATCCACACAGAACTGGAGGTGTGGGAGAAGACACACTTCAGGCCAAATTCAACCTTAAAAACTCATAAAAAAAACTTCCATAGTAGGACTGGAGATGTGGCTCAGTGGTCAACAACACTTAAGTGTTCTTCAAGAGGACCCAGGTTCGATTCCCAACACCCACAAGGCAGCTCGAGGGGATTTGATGCTCTCTTCTGGCCTCGGCAGGCACTAGGCAACCATAAGATACACAGAAATACATGCAGACAAATACTCATACACACAAAATTAAAAAGCAAACCCAGAACACAATAGCTTATATTCATATGAACCAGTAACACTGTCCCAGGAAACTTTCAATTCAGTGTAAACAGCTCTTTGTAAACATACCATGAGGTCACTAGTAGGGGACAGAATCCCAAAAAGGGAAGAAACCTTTCGGCCAATCCCTGAAAGCATGCCTTGGCCCTGGGGCAGGACGTGCTGGTGAATCTTCCCTGAGCTTTCAGGAATCAATCGAATTAGCTGGCTCCCCACAGAGGACAGGATGAAACTTCCTCCCTGTGAACAAACAGAACAAGATAAACTCAGAATACATAGAATCTTAGGACCAAGAACTACCAAAAAACCTGTGACAAGGCCTGGTGTGGTGGTGCATGCCTGAAATCCCAGCACTTGAGAAACTGAGGCAGGAGGATTACCATTAATGCCAGCCTGGGCTACAGCAAGATTTTGTCTCAATTGAAAAAAGAAAAATTTTTTTTGACAAAACTTACCCCTATCTTAAATATACCTGAGAGAATTTTAAAAAGGTATATTATTCCATTAAAATCCTTTCACTAATATGCAGAAATATTCTTACAACAAAAAAAAGTTCACTTTTTAAAATCTGAATTTTAAATTAAGGGTTTACCATGTAGCCAAGGATTACCCTGAATTCCCTGTTCTCCTGAATGCTGGAATCACAGGCATGCACTATTACACCTGGTTTAAGCAATGGTGAGGATGGCATCAAGGGCCCCGTGCATGTTAGGCAAGTGCTCTGCTGACCAAATCCTAACCCCAGCCCCAGATTTCTAACATAACTGCAGAGTAGACACCAACAAGTATCCTCCCATGTCTAAGAGTTAGTTTCCTTCTTTTTAGTTATTTATTTATTTGCTTGTTTGTTTTTTTTTTTTTTGAAACAGGGTTTCTATATGTAGCCTAGGCTGTCCTGGAACTCACAGAGATCTGCCTGCCTCTGCCTCCTGAGTGCTAGGATTAAAGTTATGTACCACCAGGCTTAGCTTGTCTGTGGTGGTATTGTGTTCCCCAAAATATTGTGTACTCTAATAAATTTATCTGGGGTCAGAGAACAGACAGCCACTAGATACAAATGCTAGAAAATGGTGGCACTCACACCTTTAATAGGGCCAGAAACTAGAAGTATTTGGCCTGGTTAAGCTTCAGGCTGAGACCAATTCCGGATGAGGACTCAGAGGCCTCCAGTCTCAGGAGACAAGACCAGCTGAGGATCCGGTGAGGTGAGATAGCTGTGGCTTGTTCTGTCTCTCTGATCTACCAGCATGGACCCCAATAACTCGCCTCGGGTTTGATTTTATTAATAAGAACTTTTAAGATTCCTGCTACACTTGTCTAAGAGTTTGTTTGTTTGTTTTCTGAGATCGGGTTTCTCTGTGTAGCTCTGGCTGTTCTGGAACTAGCTCTGTAGACCAGGCTGGCCTTGAACTCATAGAGATGAGTTCTCTATGAGAACTGCCTGCCTCGGCTTCCCATGTGCTGGGATTAAAGGTGTGCCCCCGGCTTGTCCAAGAGTTTGTAACAGCTACTTTCGTAAAATACTTAAAGGGAATGAACCAACACCTACTGCCCCACTGAAAGACCCCCCTGCTCCAGCTCACACCACAGCCCTCACCCTCTTCTCTTCCTTGCCTTTCTTTTACGCCTCCCAGGTCCCTGTAGCTGTTCAGGATCCACATCCAGCTTCAGATCTCCCCACCAGTCCACACTACAGCTCTCCTCACACACACCTGCACTGCTGTCAGGAACCTACACATCTTCTCGCCTCCCAGATCCACACAGGTCTCTGAGTAGGTGTCTTCCCTGGCGAGGCTGGGCCAGTAGCGGATGGACCCCTCTTTGGTAGCAACCATGACAGCAACAGCCTTAAAACAAAACCACAGTCATCAGCAACAATGGAAGACGGCCTCAAACCCAGGTGCCTATGACATTACGATACTGATGAAAACAAGACTTTCTTATTTTTATAATAATTTTATTATTATTTTACATATTCATTTATTTTAGAGACGGTCTCACTATGTAGCACTGGCTGGCCTTGACCTCATAGAGATCTGACTACCTCTGCATTTCAAGTACTGGGATTAAAGGTGTGTACAATCATGCCCATCAAAATTCTCTACTTTTAAGATTATGCAACAGTAAAACCGCCTTCACCTTTCTGTTCAGGTTTGTGAATTTCAACATGTGTTGATGGTGTAATCGCCCACCCTAAGGGTACAGAACAATTCTGTCATCCCAAACCTCCTAACACTGACCCCTGATGGTCATGCCTTCCCTGCTTTACCCTGGCAACCGTCCATCACTACAGATCTGGCACTTTGAGAATGTCACACAGCAGAACAGACTAAATTCCAACCCTGCTTCTCTACCCCAGCTTCCCGGAGGTTTCTCGGGGTCATTGCAAGAGTTGTCTGCTAAAGGACCCGCTGGTTGTTTCCAAATAAAATAAAACTGCCAATAAAACTGCTATAACCCAAGTAACTTTTTGTGTTTTCATTTCTCAAATGAAATTATGAAATATGCAGGTAGATGGACAGAGCTGGAAAATATTCCATTAAATGAGATGCCCAGGCTCAGGAAGATAGACACTGTATGTGAAACACTCACATGTGAATCTTAGCTTTTCCTTCTTACATATTTTTACTCATGTGTCAGTGAGTCGTATAGAGACCAGGAAACTAAAGTGGGGGAGAATGAAAGAGGCGCTAAGGGGGATAGGGCTGGTAGTAGAACACGTGATCTGAGGTGGGAGGGGTGAAGCAGGGATAAGGAGCAGGCAGGTGGAGGAGAGCCAATTAAAGCTAGGTTATAGACCCTATAGTAGAGGCACACGCCTTTAATCCCAGCACCTGGGAGGCAGAGGCAGGCAGTTCTCATAGAGAACTCATCTCTATGAGTTCAAGGCCAGTCTGATCCACATAGTGAGTTCCAGGACAGCCAGAGCCACAAGATGAGAGCCTGTCTTGAAACAAACAAGCTAGGTTATATACAAAAATGCCTTAAGAAACTTAATAATACGTATATATTTCTCATTTTTTTAAAGAGAAATGGCCAGGAATGGACTGTTAGGTCACAGGGCATGTGTACTCTCACTTTTTAAGAAACTGGGAACCAAGAGTATGCAGTTTTACATCCCACCCAGGAGTTCCAGCTGCTCCACATCCTGTCTCATCCAGCAGTGTCAGGCTCATCAGCCATTCTATCAGCTGTACAGCAGTGGTCACGGGTGTGGTGTCTGTACTGTTCCAACGGCAATGATGCTACACAGCTCTTCATGTGCTTGTCTGCTACACCCACTCTCCGGTAAAGTAAATGTCTAATGAAGACCTTGCCCTGTTTTGTTCTTCTTTCATTTATATATTTTATGTGTATGAGTGTTGCCTGCATGAACATATATGCATCATGTACATGTCTGGTGCATGTGGAAGTCAGAAGGCATATGACCCCCTTACGCTGCCCCCTAACTGTGGACTAAAAGGAGCCCACCCCACCCCCCAACTCCAAACTCTGAATTTGGTCTTGGGGATCAAAATGATGAATCCCTGGAACTGGAGTTACAGATTATTGTGAGCCACATGGCTGCTGGGAATTAAACTGGGGTCCTCTGCTGTTCTGAACCTCTGGGCCATCTGTCTGTTCTTAAATTGAATTGCTTGTTTTCTCATCAAACTTTGCTTTGTGACTTTTCTGTATTCTGGATATAAGTCCTCAGTCTGTACCTTGTTTCATTTTCTTATTTTAGAAAAG